CTCACACACACACACGCGCGCGCGCACGAACACACACACGCACACACACACGCACACACACACGCACACACACACGCACGCACACACATCACAAGATGTCCGTATTTGTAAATAATAAAAAAATAAACTATATGCATCATCACCACGACAAGGACAGAACACAGCGCTGACAGTCTCCGAATATCTTTACATTATTACTGATCATTATTGAGGCGTGGGAGAGTGGTATGGAGCATGAATATTAAATAAGCCCCCTAGCTTGTCTACAAATAATGATGAAAGCTACAGAAATCACATCCAATCAGGTACCTTGTGCATAATCAGCTCAGACTATGCTCAGTTTCCATCCGACAATGCAAGAAATGAGTTTCTGAGAATTTGTTATGAAACGACAACGGATTAGACAAATGTTCAAAATTCAAAATTTCTCACTAAAATTATCAGGTGAGCAAGCCCCTAAGCTAAATTTTTTCGCCAAAAACCCGAAATGCAAATCGTTACTCAGAAAGAAGGCGTCATAATAATAATTTTGGGGTAAAACATTCAGTCTTTTTTTTCCAAAGTTTCATTGAATTTTGAGAGTGTCACATTTAATAGGAAAAGTGGGCGATTTGGAATGAAATGACCCAAATCCCCCTAATTACAATTCATTGCCAAATCTGGAGCTGTGAAATAACGGAAAGACTAAATGAAGAACTAACCGATCTTAACGCTTCGGACGAACTAACATGTAGGTTTCTAGCCAATCAGCATCGTGATAGTGACGTTGGTCTTTTGTTGTAACGACGTGTCGCAAAATCAATGAATGTCACGTGTGAAACCAACACATGTATAAACTGGTCGGGTTTCACTGATCGCAAAAAAATATCGAAAAAACTGGCAATAATCTCGAAGAGGTACAGTTATCTTATTTGGACAAATAAGTAAGTTAGCGCAATCGTAGCTCTACGTTTCTCTTCCGAGCTACTTCAGCCCCATTTAACTTTTTACTACGACTATAACGTGAGTCTCACGACTCGCATCAATTTCCTCTGCCTGCATGAAAATTGCCGACCAGTTATGACCATGTAATAATGTATACGGCAACGCGCTTCTCTAGAAAAACACTATATATTCATAAGCACTCAATTAATATAATATATAATTTAAATATTAAAACACAACACTGATAACCATAATGCATCTCACACTGGCATGCACACACGATTTAGATTCGCACAGCAGTGGGAATCAAAACGTTTATCCGCACATCTAATCACCGTAACGATGCTGTGTATAGCATAACACAAGAATATTTGTCACGGACAATAATGACAGTATCGACTATAGCAACGTTGCCTCAAGTGCAGTTCCTTCAACATGCACACTTACACTGGCAGCAATACAGCGTATGCTCTATATCTGTTGATGCCCACAATTTAATTAACTCTCGAAAGTTGCAGCCATGGTAAATCAAGCTGTAAATCAGGAATAATTAATGGAATCACCATCACTTATCTTGCAATAAAAGTCCAGAGAACCTCTCCGAGTGCTTGTTTAAGTGAGCCAATAAACCACTCTCACAGTGCAATGAACACTTGAAAGCCGAGAAGAATTTTATAACAGTATCGACCTAATACTGCTGGCTGAATGCTTTACGCCTATGCCAATAATATTAATTACATATGGAAATTGGAATTAGCTGAAATTTAGTTAGTTTAAACCTTGCCATTCATTATGGCCAACAAATAAAATTGATGTAATCGTATACATACAAATTATGCCTGCATTCTTTTTAAAAACTACAGACTCTTAGAAAGGTTCTCAAACATTAAATTTCATTGTAATATCTCGCAATGCTAGGACAGGAGATTGAACTTATTGGATCAAGACATGTACCAGGAGCCCGTTGTCAGAAACAAAATTAGTCTTAACATTAGTCTTAACAATAACATTTTCTCGTAGACCATCTACAGTGCTTTGTTTCGTATTGTTCTCAGGAAATCTGCTACAATTTTTCATTCAGGTAACTTTGCAGCGTTTCTGTCGACGGTCTAAGAGAAAAAGTTAATGTTAAGACTAATGTTAAGACTAATTTTGTTTCTGACAATGGGCCCCTGCTCCACAACCTTTAAGTGAGTAAATTCCCCGATAGATGGAGCCACATTCTGGTGGAAGTTGTGACAGACAACCGAATCGTGTACTGGGGAGAAATACTCATTTTTCCGAAAATAGCCGAACGGTATACCGTT